TGCGGGTTTTGACTGTAATTCTAAATCTTTAACGTTGTAACGCTATTACATATGTGCGCTGTAACTTAATACGTCATCGTCAGCGAGATTTAAAAAAAAAGAAAAGGATTTGACAGCAGTTACTTCCGCAAAAACAACAACGGCCGAGAAGGTTGCGGGCTCCGATATCTACAGCGACGCGTCGGGTAATCACTAAAAGCTAGGAACAGCCAGCGGAAATCCAGTATTTGCAATCCACAAGCCAAGTTCCGGCCATCCCGGCCACTTTTCCATGTGCGCTTGTCTTTTATGTTCCCTTGCTGCTGAGCATGCAGCCTCCCGAGACCTTTGTTCAGCGTGGCACTTGGACTAACTACAAGAACCTTTCCGTCGTCACTAGTCATCATGGCAAGTTGCCGTCGTCACTATGATGCTACCTTTAAGAGGAAGGTGATAGCCGATGCTGAAGCTTTAGGCAACTGCGCTGCAGGTCGGAAGTACGGCGTCCCAGAAAACAACGTGAGTCGTTGGAGGAAGAAGAAGGGGGCCCTCTTTGCCTGCGCTGCGACGCGGAAAGCTTTTCGAGGACCGCACAAGGGTGTGTTTCCCGAAGTGGAGGCAAGCCTGACAGAATTCGTCAAAGAAACTAGGAGCCATGGCTTGACTGTAACAGAAATGCTTCAGATGAAGGCCCGAGAGAAGGCAGCCGATCGCGGAGTCTCCGAGTCGCAGTTCAAGGCTAGCCGAGTACATGAAGAGAGCCGGCTTCTCACTTAGAAGGCGGACTTCAATTGCACAAAAGCTTCCCAATGACTACGAAGAAAAGCTGCTGTCTTTTTCAACGTTATGTAAATGGAGTGAGAAGAGAGCGCAACTTTTTCCTCGGCCAGATCGGGAACGTGGAAAAAACCTTGATATTTCTTGACATACCGTCGGCGCAAACTGTACATGCGAAAGGTGATCGTCAAGTTTACATGCGTACCGCAGGGTGCAAAAAAGCGTGAATCACCGTCATGATAGCCTTGTGCCCGTCAGCCGAAAGAAAAACCATGACCAAGAATGAAAATTTTCCTAGGGGTGTGCACATCCGCAGCCAGGAAAAAGGATGGATGACTGAAGTACTCGTCATCGATTGGATAAAAACTGTGTGGTGTTGGCGTCCCGGGGCTCTGCTGGCTCGCCAATCAATGGTCGTCCTTGACGTTTTTCGGGGACATCTGACCGAAGGGGTCAAGAAAAAGCTACAAGAAGCAGCCACCGATCTCGTTGTCATCCCTGGTGGCATGACGAGTCAGTTGCAGCCACTGGATGTGTGTCTGAACAAGCCTTTTAAGGACCATGGAAGACGCCTCTACAACGAGTGGATGGCCTCCAACAATACGGCCTTGACACCATCGGGCTGTTTGAAGTGTGCATCTCCGTTTGTAGTGGCTTGCTGAATAGCAGACGCTTGGGCAGCCATACCAGACGCAATGGTGGTAGTTTCTTTCAAGAAGTGCTCCATTTCTAACTCACTGGACAGCACCAAAGATAGTGAAGTTTGGGAATGCGACAGCGACAAGAAAAGCAGTGGTACTTCAGAGGATGATAGCTCATGATTATGCGGTTACACGGCCGATTTTCGCACACTTAAGGGGGCGGACGGGTCTTTGGGACCGAAAAATCGCGAAAAAAACGTTTTTTTTTCAATGTCATTTTTGAATTCTGCAAGCATTTTTACACCTGCCTGCCAATTTTCAGACTCCAGAAAGCGATAATTTACTTGTTATATCATTACAAAGAGGACACGCGAGCTCGATTTGCGCAGAATCTGACGAAAAAACACCACCTCTTTCGCGATGCAGAGCTGCCGTTTGCCGAACGCCATTGCCGCGATCTTGGTCTCGTTTGAAAGAGCGTTTCTTCACCTTCCGATTCCCGCTCATAGAGCCTCGCTCCGCTCATTGGTTACCGAAAAAAAAGCAACCAAAGAAGAAGCAAAGTACGCGATGCTATTCGTTGTTAAGCGCACGTGACCACGAGGTGGCCACTTCATTGGCTGATTGCGCTCGCATCGTCTGCTTGGCGCGTCAACAACGCGCGAACACCTGTTGTCGCGCCGACATATTTCCTGTGCCTGTGCTTCGACTAGCGTGCTCGCGATCGAAGTTGTTGAAATGCCTGGATTGGCACGAAAGTTTCATACACGGCATAAGTTCGGCAAAAAAAGAAAAAAGTCTCAGGCGAACAACTTCAAGGCGCGTCTCTTGGCGAGGAGCGTCAACGAACAACGAGATGGGTCGCCCGCCGATGCCGCCGACGCCAGCCTGACGGCCTCGCCAGCCTGCGATGCTCCCAAACGTGAAGCATCGCTGGCACATTCATCACCCGAACGCGCAGACGAACTTTGCGAACATCGAGACTGCGCGACCTCCATCTCCGCCGACAGCGAAGGAATCGCCGAGGCGCCCGAGAGTGTCGACGGGGAGTTAGGCCTAGCGGGCCCGCCGGTCACCGACGCTTCGCTAAGCAGCGGCCGCGTCCGCCGTCATACAACCTTACTAACGCAATCGGAGCTGCAGGTAAGGCGCACAAAGGCCGATGCAAGGCTGCAGGAACTGGCATCGACCGCCGCGTCGAAGAGAAAACTTGAGTTTTTGAGGAACGACGCACCGGCCGGCGCCGCTCCCGCGGAGCCAAACGAAGAGGCAAGTTTTTTGATCGCCGATCTTGGCTGCTTCGGTAAACAGTTAGATGCCATGAAATGTAAAATCTGCAACAGAAGCGTCAGCATCTACAGACAGGACAGACAATACGGCCTCGCCATGAAAATGTGTGCGCGTTGCGTGAACTGCGGCGACATCGCGCAAGCATGGAGCTCTCCGCGAGTGGATGGAGCACAGAAAGTAAACTCGTTCGCCGTCAACATTCTCGCCGCTCGAGCCATGCAGGCCACTGGGAACCGTCAAGCAGCTATGAATGATATATTTTCGACAATGAACATATCCCATCGCGGACTTCACAATAAAACGTGGCAAGAATACGTGAAGCGGAAATTGACTCCTGCAGCTAATTGCGCGGCCGAAAAAGTCATGGGCGAGTGCGCGAGTGCAGTTCGTGAGCTTTACAAGGAGCTGCATATTGACAATGCCGACAGTATTGCAGTCTCGTACGACGGCTCCTGGATGACGCGCGGGCACTCGTCCCACATAGGCGTGGGGGCAGTGATCGAGCTCTTCACTGGTCTAGTGCTCGACTATGTCGTTCTGAGCAACTTCTGTGCCGGATGCAAGCGCGGACCGAAGGCAGACGACCCGGCATATCAGGCTTGGCAGGACAGCCACGTGTGCCAAAAAAATACTACAAAAAAAGCTGGCGAAATGGAAGTTGAGGCAGCTGTGCACCTCTTTGAGAGGTCCATAAAAAAAATGGCCTCAAGTACACTACAATCCTGTCAGATGGTGACAGCCGCACCTTCCTCGCTTTGCAAGAAGCAGATGTCTATGGCTTCATCAAAGTCCAAAAAGAGGACTGTGTCAATCACGTCCAAAAGCGTATGGGCACTGCCCTACGCAATTTAGTAGCAAGGCACAAAGGAGGTGCCTCTGAAACCCTTGGAGGAAGGGGAAGGCTCACCGGGGACCTCATCACGAAGTTGAGCTCCTATTACGGCTGGGCGCTCAAATCTCACAAAGGAGATGTTGAGGACATGCACAGAGCTGTGATGGCGACTTACTATCACATCACTTCTAATGATAGTGAGTCAAACCACAGCCTGTGTCCCACGGCCCAGACTCTTGGTGCCGGCAAAATGCAGCTGCTGCCAAAGGGGAGCCCACTCCGAGGCACCATTACAATTTGCCACAACATGTGTGCAAGGCTCTTCTTCCAGTTTATGAGCGCCTGTCAGAAAAAGGGCTTCTAGAAAGGTGTCAAAGGGGTAAAACCCAGAATAGTAATGAAAGCCTTCATTCCGTGATCTGGGCTTTGGCACCTAAGCAGCGCCATGCTTCACTGTTTGCGGTTGAAGCTGCAGTTGCCGAGGCAGTGATGAAATTCAACTGTGGCAACTTGAGAACATCAACAGGAATCCTCGATGAGCTCAACCTCAACGCCACCCTCCCAAGCATCAGACGGATGACTGAGAAGGACAGGCGTCGAGTGGCCGACTCAAACCGCAAGCGTGCCTCTAGTGAGAAGGTCCAGCAAGCAATAAAGAAGCGCCACCGCAGTGCTAAGCACCAGTCTGACTATGTTCCTGGTGGCTATTAAGATCTGCATTGTGAAATATGCACCTTCTTATTGTTGTTTTTGAATAAAGTGTGTGTTATTTGTTTTTGCCATTTTTCTCAAAATGTGAATTTATGACTTCATTCAATCTTAAGGCCTCGATATCTCGGCAGCTAGGGCTGGTATGGTAGAGCGATAATTCTTCTTGCAATGGAAACCTGTATGTGTATAGAATCCAGGTATGGGAATGGAATTTAGAGTACAAGCCTTTTTAATTAATTACTCATCAAAATTGTAATATTATGCCAACTGCTTTTTCAGAGTGGAAAGTGCAATTTGCCATAACATAACTAAAAAGGCGAAATAAAAGAAACTACTTGCATAATTTCAATCTTAGATCATTAGTCTATCTTGCCATATCTTGAATGTTGCTTTTAATTAGGCACTTTTTTTTCTATTGAGGCCTTAAACAATGGGGGTTGAACTTGAATTATCTTGGGAATGAGATGAGTTACAGGAAAAGTAATTGCATATTTGAAATCAGCAGAAAAAACTGCACAAGGCTGTGCATTTTCATCAAGATCACTGAAGAAATAAACAAAAAATGTCTAAGACCAGTCTGCCCCCTTAAAGGTGGGATGTCAAATAAAGTTTTTGGCGAGAACTCTCGCCTTATATTAGTGTGCAGACTTTTTTCCTTTTCTTTGGTCCTTCAACTCCCCCCTCGCCTTATAATTGTGACCGCCTTATATTAGAATAAATACGGTATGTTTATAAGTTTGTCAATAAAACTAGGTCTTGTATACACATACCTGTGATGACTGCCAGGGCATACCAGGGCCAGCCATATGGGGTGGTGGTGGCCCAGCCATCATTGAAGGAGGCCGTGGACCACCTGGAGGCATCATTCCTTTTGTTCCTGTCGCCCACTGCTGTGGTGGTGGCCGGTCCTGTGCGAAAAAATGACTATCACAGGTGATCTTCCACAAGCCTTATCTTCTTCACAGCATTGGAAACAACGATTGGGTTTCTAAAATTGCTTTTGTGCACAAGGTGTACTCAGGGGTGAGACGGCCGAGCCTAAATTGGGAGCCGCGTTTGGAGCAGCAAAATTTCAATTTTGGAGCAGAAGAACCTTGCTTTGGAGCAGTTAGCGGTCGATAACGTTTTCTTATCGGCTGAAGAAAGATTTCAACTTCTCGGCGTCGGCACGGAACAAGGGAACTCCAATGGCCGTGGAACGGAATTCTTGATCGTACATTTGAGTCTGTTTAATTACCTTCTCACGCTTATGATTTGCGCCTACTGTGGTGACAGTGTCTAAGGAGCAAAGAAACGAGTGCGGAGTTCAGTGTGAAACTCGTGATGGCAAGCTTCACTCAGGGTGACTGGAGATTCAACAACAACATTTATATATGCAACAAAGACTATACAGCCAGGAATGCCATGAAAAACATGCTTGTGAATAGACACAAGCCAACAGTGGACAGTGCCTACAGCCCTGGTCAGCTGTTGTGTGTAGATTCAAGCCCATGTAATTGAGAGAATTCAAATAATGTTATTTAAGAGACCATCAGGAAATAGAACACGTTCTTTTCCCATGAATGCTCGGATTTGAGTCTCTTTCATTTGGCGCCTTTAAACGCCAAAGCGTGGTTTTCCCAAAGCACCTGTATACTACTTGGCACTAGACAGAGCACATAACTGGAGCATGCAAGCTGCCACTCACCATTCCTATAGGAGCATTGCCTCCAGTCAATGGAGGTGGTGCCATGATGGCCCGCATTGGCCCCTGTGTGCCTCCCAGCTGGGGACCGCTACCACCACGGTTATTTGCATCATCCCCTCCACTCTTGCTTGGTGGTGGAGGGCCTTCACCAAGCTCAGCCATCAAGGACATATACTGCAGTATTATTCAGAACAGGCTCAAGCAGTGAGAAACTGGCGTACCCTCAGAACATTGGTCTTCTTGAGCATGGTCATAAAATGCTGCTAATCAGAGTTTTTAGGTAAATTACTTGACTAAATCACTACTCACTTCAAAGCTCAAGTTTACTATTAACCCATGCCTGCACATGGTAATGCCAATTGAACACAGGTGAAGCACATAAGTTTTGTAACTGCAAGAATCGGAACCCATCTGCAATGCACTTCACGGACTGCTGGAATGTGCACTTATATAAAGATGGGCTTCAGAGAAACCCAGTAGCAATTGATAAGACTGTCCACTGCTACATTGCCCCTTATACTGTGTCTATATTTTTTGCACTTTGTGATCAGTTAAGCAGTCATTGACCTATGCGAGCAGTCGGTCACAGGCTTTCACCCACTACCCTTACGTGCACTGTTAGTACACACAGTCATTTACCTGTTCTTTTTGCACATTTGCTGTATCAATAATTCAGGCATTAAAGGGGCCCAGCAACACTTTTTGGGTATGGTCAGAAAACCGTGTCAATCAGCAGTCCAAGCTCCTTAAAACACATGAGCCAAATATGGTGCAGCACGTGGCCGGGAATGTAAAATAAATTTTCAAGGTCAGCTAAAATCGTTTTCAAATGATGCTATTTACCAAAATTTTTTGGTGTGATAGGCCCAAGTATCATGCAATACGCTGATTTGAGCATGACGAGCTCGACAGTTACTGGAGCTGCCACAGGAGGCAACAATGTGTCCGCATGTGTGCGTTCAATCACGCTGCAAAGCCAGGTGTTGAAAGAAAAAAAAAAGAGAAAAGGTGCTCCAAGTCACAAGGCACATGTGACATACTTTCTTCTCCCCTGTCATCCCTACCTGCTTAGCTTCCCGTGCTTTCGTCAGCACGAGAGAAAAGAGACAGCAGTTGCAGCATGTGGCAAATCTTTTCAACTCCGCTCGTACTTGACAGATTCTTAAAATTTTTGCAACGGTGAATTTGGGAGGCAAAAAAGGCTCCTTTAATGAATCCATTTCACGGCTACTTAAAAAAGTGTTGCAGGGCCCTTTTAAAGTTTGACGGCAAAATTTTAAAATAGGTGATCAGTTGAAAAAACATGACCCTTGCCACAGCAAACTACCGAAAGCAATAAACTAGCATCATCTGTGATTACATTTGAGTGATTTATTATAAATTAATTTCCGTCATCCATAGAAAGTAGTTCATAGCAAGCTCTTCCAATGAAATTTTTTTCGCCTGCCCCACTAGGGTGGTGTAGTGGCTAAGGTACTCGGCTACTGACCCGCAGGTCGCTGGATTGAATCCCAGCTGTGGCAGCTGCATTAACAATGGAGACGAAAATGCTGTAGGCCCATGTGCTCAAATTCGGGTACACGTTGAAGAACCCCAGGTGGTCAAAATTTCCAGAGCCCTCCACTACGATGTCTCACAATCATATGGTGGTTTTGGGATGTTAAATCCCACACAGCAACCTACCAAACTAAAATTTTTTGTCTGGATTCCCCTCCCCCCCGCCCCGTTTTTTTTCTTGAGAGGTGATTCGAAATCCTACTTCATTTAGACTTCTCACTAATTATACGACTTTGCATTAATGTTTAACAGTGCTAAATACATAAAGAGAGCTCGCCACTGAGAAGTTCACAAATGGAAGGGAAAAAAAAGCACACTACCTCTTCATCTATTTTGGACTGGGAGCATCCTAGCCCTGCATCACTGCCCCCGCCACCAAAGCCACCTCGGCCGCCGTAACCACTGCTGCCACCTTTGTTTCTATCCCTGCAATCTCGTGCAATATGACCAGTGCCACCACAACAGGCACAGATAACACTGTTGGTGATGTTGGGCCGGTCAGGACACTGCCATGCCTTGTGTCCAGGCGCCCCACAGTTGGAGCATCGCGGTCCACCCAGAAGGTCATTCTCACGCAGGGTACCATTCAGTAACGCCAACTCTCGCAGCTGCATTCGTCGAAGATCGTTTTGACCTTCCGGAACTTCAACACCCTGCCGGATTATCTCTTTGATCTGCAACAAATTGTACATCAAGTTTATACTATTAGCACTTAACATACTACTTAATGCAATAATTATCACTTCTATTGTAAGCCAGAGTTACTGAGACACTGTCATGACAAGTAACAGCTGAAACATCCGGTATGTCACACAAAGCCACTGAGAATATTTTTAACACAGGTCATGACAGTGCTATTGTTGACCTACATAAATGGCCAAACACTGGCTGAATAAAATACAGGACGACTTGATAGCCCTGCAGCGTGAAAGTGTGCAGAATTTTTTAGTCCTCCTTTCAGCCCTACTGCAAACCCGCATTAATAAGCTTTTCTATCCACTGGGCCAAAAAATACATTCTTATTCCCTATTCAACTGAATCCATTCTTTTGGACTATCAACTATTTAGACCTTTTGGCTGCTTCCGCCAAGTCTGAATAAACGTGGTCAGGGAGTGAATATACATTCACACCCACACAAAGCCATCAAATGTCCCCAGAGGCCCTCTCCACCTAACTAAATAGGATCCTCATTTTGCCTCTATTCAAAAGTAGGCTCATGCAAATATAACCTCCTTGGTTCAATGTGAATGGCAATTATGTCATATAATTTTGAAGTGAATTGAAGTAGTAGCCCAATTTGAATAGTAGTATGACGCAAGTCATATTACTTTTTTGCCCTTATAAGATGCTCTATTAATTAAAAAAAAATGTGTGGTAAAGTATAGCTCCACGGCAATACGAGTATCCACTGACAAGATGGTTTCCCAACACAGCGGCCCTGTGCTGCATGGCAGTGGCTGTGTTGCGACACAGTTATCCTGTAGAGCGAGACAGTGGCCTTGTGCTGCGAGAGTCTTTTAGACGAATTACATGCAGCAGAATACATCTATTTGTTAGTTTCAAATACAGAAATTCTAAATTACCGTTGAAGTGAATTTGACAACTGCAACATACCCTAGATTACTCACACAGGTCTAATAAAAAAGTAACTACAAAAAACTGGCTAACAAAAGCATATTGACAAAATTTCAAAACATTTACCAACCTGTAAAGTTCCTGAAGAGGAAGCTTTCTGAAAGAGAACCTGAAAACAATTGGAAGAACTTACTCACCTTGTCCACAGCTTTCCGAACATTTTCTTGGCTCGAAGCTGTGACAAAGGCATGCAAAGGTTCATCTTCCCCAGGCAACGGCTGGCCATCTTTGCGCCCAACCTTGCCTTCCTTCACTGAGCCTTTCCCTCGAATGATGATCTTGGCACCAGTTTCTTTTTCAAGACTCTTCAGCGTGTTGCCCCGTGGACCAATCAATAGGCCTACAAAGTTAATGTCTGGATGCTCTTCCTGTGGAATCATTACTTTCTCAGATACACGGACCAGTGGTGGCCTAGAAAAAAGCAAGGCACATTTGCATCAGCATGATTGAAGGTCATACAGTCAAACCTGCAATAAAGTATTATTGTGTATATCGGACAGGCTTGACGTCACCTTGAACATACAGTGATAATTCCAAGAAAATCGCTTTACTCAAAATATTCCATTACAGTCGATCCCGGATATATCGAACTCGAAGGGGATTGCAGAATAGTTCGATATATCGACAATTCGAAATACAGTATTTACTTGCGTAATGAACCCCCCCCCAGTCCTTAAAAAAAAAAAAAATCTTTTTTAATGTATCTGTTCGTTTTATTTCGGCATGAGAGCGATTGCTTTTGATGATCGAAACAACGTTAAATGAAGCCGTTATATTACAAAATAACAACTCAATAAAAGTCAAAACAGTTTCGCAACCATGCTAAACAGTTGCGAGCAGCACGAGCGCGGACGACGTCAATCAAAATTTGAAAGTCCCGCCTGTTGTGGCAAAGCGACATCTGTCAAATGCAGCAGAAACCCCTTTGCTGACAGCGCAATGCAAGCACAGCGGAACAAAAACAAAGCAAAAAACAAAGCACGCGACCTCTTAAATGGCGGGCGCGCAACGTAGAAACACGCTGCGCGCCCGCCTTTTTGAAGGTTGTGCAAAGCGCAACCACACCCACCGCGCCGACGGTGCGTCGTGCACCCACAAAGTCTACCGTAATGTTTATGCGCCTCCATTCGACGCTGTGTTTTTGTTGTCCGGTTTGCCGTCGTGAACCTTGGGACCCTTGCTGTGCAGGGCGAATCAGGCTGGTACGCTACCTGCACTGCTGATTATAAACAGCATGCACTGAAACATTGGAACCGAGCACCTGGACGACACTTCGGCGTCGATCCGCGCGCTTTCGTTACAGGAGGAAAAACAAGAAAGCTTCAGGCTAGAAAAAAAGATTTGTTGTGCTTTTCACGGGCCAAAACAAGTGAAGCCGTCACGCAAAATTTTCGCTGTTGTAACTCCCGTGACTTTTTTTTCTCTCTCCCACATAATGAACCCTCCCCCAAATTCGCGGCAACTTCACCGAAAAAAAAAAAAATGGGTTCATTGCATGACTAAATACGGTACAGATTATGCGTATTTAAGGCCTAAATTAAAGCACTTCAGGCCTTATAAACGTTATAAGCACTAACCTAATGATTCGCTCACAGTATGATGAGGCACAAGGTGTGAACCAAAATTTACCTCACCTCACTTCTCATAAAAATAGTCCGTAAACTTGTCTCGCTTCTTGCACGCCGTCAAGTTTCAGTTATCCTCAATATCATTGAAGCTTATTAAATAAGTGAATTAAGTTCTTTCAGCCTCAACAGCATTGATTGATGCAGAACGCTGATGCAAACTTAGTAGCAGAGCAAAATGTTGGTTAGTGGCGGCAGCGGTGACATATTCATTACCGCACAGGTACACTTCCGCAGCACTAGCAACAGCAGCCACGGTCTCAGCATCGATACAGTAAAAAACAACTACGTCGTCATCTGCACCAATAAGTCCCTCACTGTCCAAGATGGTGCCCGGAAACGCTGATAAGTCGCAGAATTAACCGAAGCACCGTACGCAAGCGGTCATGGCGCACCCAAAGTCATCACCTGGCCCGCAAGGAAAGTTTACGATGGTGCTTTACCTGAAGCCGTTCCAAGCACCAGTCATAATTTTTATGGCTACGTGCGAGTCAACGTTCACTTCAGCCTTAGAATGAGGATTTATCAGGAACGCAGCAAGAAAGCGCATAAGACAATGTCGAGTTTCCACAGTCGGCATGTTGGCAATATTGTTACGTGACAATATCGATATCACTTGTGCCTTTGTAGCTGGCAGACACTGCTTTCAGCTGCTTTGATGCGAAAAGCTAGTAAGAGCGTAGCCACCAAGACATAAGTTTTAAAAGCGAAAACACCACAATTACGTCACGAGGTGCACATCTCGAAAGTCATGCTTTTCAGGCTCGTGTGTCATTGCACACTAACAAGGAAGGGAATGCGAACATTGCAACAAGATCGCCAAGTCACTTCGCATTCTCATTTTGGTGTCGTCGGCAGGCGCATAGCCAGACATTTCTTTCGAGGGGGGGAGGGGCACCGGCTTAAAATGGCAATTTTTCGCTTTTCATGACATCAGGAAAAAATTTTTGAGAAGAGGGGGAGGGGAGGCATGCCCGGTGTGCTACCCCCTGGTCCTCGGCAATCGGTCTTTTTTTGAAAAACACTATGCTCGCGGGTTAAGACCTGCAGATCGCACATCAAAAGCACCGATGCACTCGCAAGCGGTGTGCAACAAACCAGATCAGTGCGATAGAATAATACCGCATTTTCATCACCTGCGCATGCAAGGAAATCGGAACTCGTAAGAACGCGGCCGAATATTGATCAATATTTGCTAGTAAAAATTACTTTCTAGGCTTCGGCGCGGCGCAGCATTCAATATAGCGGATGTCCCTCTGAGCAGGAGTTCGATATCCCATACTTTTACATGAAAATTCAAGGGGATTTCTCAACTGTTCGATATAGCCAATAATTCGATATATCAGTTTGATATATCCAGGATCGATTGTATTCAAAATTTCTCCTGGGCTCAACCCAAATGCATGCTTATTAAGCTGCATTACTCGAAGGGCACAAAAAGCTTCACCCACTTTAAATGAAATGGTGAGCGGAGGCATCTACAAGTGATTTGTGGGGTCTAACGTCCCAAGACCACCATATGATTATGAGAGACGCCGTAGTGGAGGGCTCCGGAAATTTCAACCACCTGGGGTTCTTTAACGTGCACCCAAATCTGAGCACACGGGCCTACAACATTTCCGACTCCATCGGAAATGCAGCCGGGATTCGAATCCGCGACCCGCGGGTCAGCAGTCGAGTACCTTAGCCACTAGACCACCGCGGCGGGGCAAGGCATCTACAAGTGGTGGCAAACCTTATGCACTTGCATTATAATCATCAGCCCGACTACACCCAATGCAGGAATAAGGTCTCTGCCATGCACTACTCATCAACCCAATCCTGTGCTTGCTGCCACATTAAACCCACAAACCTCTTTAAGGGGTTCTAAAACTCTGTTCTAAGTAACCATAGATTGGCTTCACTAAAGCTGAGTGCCTCCTGAAACGTGAACCGCAAGTTTTTTAGACCAATCAAGGATGAGCGGAGTCGCACAAAGATTTGTCGCATGCTGCAATTGCTCTCTCCTCTCACACCAACGAGCGCGCAGGAAGATCAGGGAGGAAGGGCATGGGGGAAAGAACAACATCAAGCACGTCATGACCTTAAGCACTTTTTTTTTTTTTTCAAATGGCTAACCTCCCTGTCTTTCCCCATTTATTCCTCCTCCTCCTTTTTTCAAATCGGCAGCTTACTATTCATGTAATTGAGAGCAATCAATCACATGATGGCTTCGGTAACTAGGCAGCTAATGATGCTCAAATTGGCCAATGGCTATGAGTGTGGGCATACGGCACGGTCATTTGGGCATATGACATATGTCGAAAAAGAGGGAACAATCTTTAGCAGGTTTTAAAACACAAATGCAAATTCCAGGTGGCATGCTACACTATGTTTACCTCACATATTCTCAGGAGTTTCTACTACCAACAGGCGTAATTTTAAGACCATGCTAAGAAAATGTGCAAAGCTCCCTTAATCTCATTTTCTCACCTAATTTTACGTTCTCCTCGCACTTTTGACTTCTCTTGGAATCTTGTCATTTACTTTTAATGACCAGCAGCTATTTTGCCTACGCGCTACATGCCCTACCCATTGTTGTGATCAGCTCCCGTGTTTTGGCACCGCTTGTACGCGTGGAAGGATTTTGACTGACGCGCTTCCTGAAGGTACAGAAAGCAACAGCACAGCGAATTCTTTAGGTCCGTCGGCTTGCCTCAAGTCCTCTGGGCCTACACGGCCAAAGGATTAACAGGAAAGGGCTGTTTTGCTGTCTGGGCTGCTTAGAAAGAATGGTCCCCTCTGCGTCACTGGAGTCGTCAGAAGTCACCTGACAATGAGCCAAGTGCCGAAGGAGAAACATTTTCAGTGACATTTCTCGCATTTGTAGGGCCTTTCGAGCACACCACGGACTGCCCAGCATCAATGACCCTTGAACCTGGCAAACCAGTTGGGTCGACTATGCACATGGGGTTCCAGGTCAACGCATCGTGCCAGATGTGCCGTGCCATCACCTAGCGTATTGTGTCTACTGCCCCCTCCCTGTAGGATGAACTGGGCGTGCCTTTTGTCCCTTTCCTGGGAGGTTCTTGTGAACATGCCTATTCGCGAGTGCCGTGAAAGACCACGATCGCATTGGAGGATCCTGAACTCAATTGTCTTCTTTTGCAGAGAATCTTGGGAAAACGGAGGGTATAAAATGCGAGTGCAAAGACGCTCGGGTGTGCTTTTTCCTTTTTGTCATGTATCACGCTACCTTAATCATGTAAATACTGTAAAGAAGCCCCGTCTCCTCGGTTCATCTCCGCCCTGACCCTTGGATGGCTCCGAATCCCGACGAAGTCCCCCAGTCGCAACACCATGTCCATTTCTTCTTGATGTCAACTGTGATGCCCTTTGCACCTTTATTCCCTGAGCAACTCCAGTTTTTTATGTCCCTTAGTTAAAGATACACCTATCTTTCTTTTTCTTTCTATTGCTCGCTCAGTCGTCGTCAGTTTAAAGCGAACATTCTTCGTAACCCTCAGAGTTTCTGCTCCATAGGTAAGTACCGGTAAGATGCAGCTGTTAAATACATTTTCAAGTGACAGACTGCTAGTCATGAATTTAGCATTGTCGCAGAATATGCTTATTTTACAGCTACCAGTGCCTCACTACCTATCGCAAAGTGTTGTTAATTTCAGAGACTGTTGCACATTACTTTAGTTTTCTGCATATTAACCTTCTGACCTACCATTCTGCTTTCTGTGTCCAATTCCGCAATGATAGGTTGTCAATTGTCTCCCGAGTTACTCATTAATGCAATGT